AGGCCTTAAGAGGCACACACCACAACAGCAGATTGCCAAGGCAATAGGCGGGTGGAACGTGCACATCCTCTCCTCATTGGTCTACTGAACAGATCCGTCTTGGTTGCACAAATAGGAGGCTGGGCGCTGAGCTGAGGACCAGTTCTCTCCTCGTCAATGCACCAACTGCCGATTCACCATTCAACGCATTTGCGCCTCCTTTTTCTAAACGCACACAAGGCGACTGAACTTAGAAGAAAGCAGACCGATTCAGTAGTATGTGGCATGATGTAGACATGTAGAGGTGTCAGTGGTTCATCAGTCGCCACTTCTCAACCCACCCCCCGAAGGAACTCCTTAGAAAGTAGGAAATGCCTACCTTCGGAGCCAATGCACCGCCACCACCACCATCACCACCATCACCACACCTCTCTTCGCAATCCCATTTCACTGGGCTTTGCCAATCCCTCACTCAACAATTATGAGGGACAGAGAGAACTGGACGCATACATTTCCGTGCTGTTGGGTGAAGGAAGAAGGTTGTGCAAATTGTCGACTTCTAACTTGGTGTTGCATGAGGTCTCGACGTCAGTGGAGTGGAACAGAACGCGGTGCGTTAAGTAGAAGAGACTTAGACCGCTGTCCTCGTAGGCATTGCGACTCTGTGCCTTTAAGTCTGCAATATGGCATAAAGTAGTCGCAGACACAAAACAGACAACTCTTGGCAATGGGAGCTCGGCACGCCGTTCACGCCGTCTGAAGTCGTCGCGATGTTTTGCACCTTCTCTCGCCACAACCACATAACCTCATTGTCAGGTCGAACACGCTCTCTTCATCAAGCATCCACACAACAAAGACGCTTGGATGAGCACGCAAGATATGTTTGCGTGTTTCGGGCACCATCGATTCCCTCCAAACAAACCACTCGCTCCCAATACGCACACGGCACATCTCAGACTTTTGCTGTTACTGTGGATGGTTTAGAAATCTCTCCTCCCACCACGATACAGTGGTGTGTCAGCCAAATTTGCTCTCCACACCACCAACATCATCCAGCATTTGGAACTGGTTACCGTCAGTGGCCTGATGTTTGCTTCTCTTTTGCGACTCCAATGTGTGTCTCCACTTTTGTGCGTGCATTGTGACATTCACATGTTTCTGCAAGGACAGCGCAAACACGAACTGGGGCCACAATTTAGGTGAGTTTGAAGTTCAACACACCATGCATGGAGTTCCAAGTGATGGTGGACACTGAGCACACCATCAGTGCCGAGCTCTTCGAAGTAGACTATTAGCACTGTGAACATTAAGAGACGACTTGGAAGACCCTTCCAACAGCCCGTGGGCAAAGGCACCTCGACATGAGAGGCCAAGGAAAGTGGGACTACGAAAGGAACACCTCAACCCCTCACGCCTTCAGATGTGCAAGTTGCGAATGCAAACCCTATAGGAAATAACTAGTCTCAACCTCGTAGTATCCACGCATTTGATAACCCTTTTCTACTTGAATAAAATGCGTCCGCACGCTACTAATTTCCTATCAGTAGACGACAACAGCACAATCGCTGTTTAAGGTTGGTCTTAGCAGCAGTGCCGGCGCTACCACGTCTCCCCTCCTTACAGGAGCATGATGAGCTGGAGATATCACCTCCAATCCGCACATGCTTAGCGGACTTCGAGCCATTGATTGGCCATTTGGGAGTAGGGAAGGGAAGGTGTGACCAAGCGTTTACCCTCTCTTGACGGACATACTAAACACTAAATGCTTTCCACACCTGTCAACTGACAATTCAACACATGCGTTGTAAGATGTCATGGCATGATTTACAAGCTGCAAAAGCAGCTCGCATCTGATGGTCAGACAGAAATGCCAATTCTCGCAGTAGTTAGGCGTTAGAAGAGACCCTCTGCGTGCGGGAAGTAGGGAGAGGGAGAAATGAGAGGCACTTACGGACAACCTGCCCAACTACCAGCGTATACTCGACATCTTTCGACACTTTGCATGGTTTCGCGTAGGAGCAGCACGTTTTGCCCTGGAGAGCACAACATTGCACCAATTGTGGTGCATGACTTAATTGCTTACACCTGTGCAGCGTCCTCCTTCTGGCCAACTCTTCAAAAGACAACCCTCCGCAAATCTGCAAGTTCAAGGGTGCACACTTACACTGCAAGCCTCTGCATTGGTTAGTGGAATGTGATTACCTGCATGCACGCTATTGCACGTCAGTTATTTGTCCGGAAGAGGAGGCAGAGCTTGCCAACCAGTTGATCCACAGCCCATTGCCTCCTCAAGCACAAAGTGTAGCACATTCACTGCACACACTTCCATGCTCGGCCAAACCCAACTCATCTGATAATAATTATGATGAGCAAAGCAGCTGAGGAACCTCCAACTCTCTTCACCCCACGTATTGAGGGCCACCGTCATTCCAATTTTAATCCACTGACACCACCATTACAGCAGCAATGTGGGCCCAATCTGGCACATAAGAGGCAGGAAGAGAAATGCGTCCAACATCAGTTGCAGGAATATTCAGTTTGTACAAGCAAAGCAAAATCCTCCTGATTACTAACCCCTATTGGGAATGAACACTTCTTTGCTTCCCATCCAACTGCAGCACTTGAGCACTCAGCCACAAGATAAGGCGCCACGACGCAAGAGGCAAGCACTCAAACCACCTGCAGCCTCGGCGACAACTCCTGTTTCATGACAATGAGCAAATCGTTTGGCCGATAGTGCGTGTCTGTGCGAATTGCTGGATTGGGACAAGGGTGGTAAGGAAACCTTTGTGGATGAAAAGCACATTAGGCGCCTAGAATGGGCTGCCAACTTGCAGTTTTGCACAACAGCAAAACAATCATGGCAAAGGAGGAGTGTAGCGACGTCATCCCGCACAATGTAGAAGACCGCTGAGAGTCTCCTACAAGCCGCCTTGGCATTGAGAGGAAAGGCTTTGCATTCCGCTCTCGTGGTAGGACAATTTGAGGATGCCACTCCTCTCCTTTCGTAGCACTGCACTCACAAATGCATGCCACAACATTGTTCGAATAAGGAGGCCAGCAGTGGAGGAGGAGGAGGAGGAGGAGGGGAGGTGAGGTGCAATGGGAAATCAGTTCGACGATGAGCAAATGTGTCCGTCTCCGCACAAATCAGTGCTGGTTGTGTTCATTCGTTGCACTCGATTTATCCTTCACAACCCACTTCTGCTCTTCCAAAGTCATCACTCAAAATCGTTTGTGGACAGACAACTGCAATCACTCCTTACCCCACAGCAGTCGAAATCAGTAGTGGATTGCGTGGATCGGTTTTGATGACTGCCTTTTAATGAAGAAGTGCTGCTTGCTACTCTGCTTTTGCCCCGCCAACTAGCATCGTCGCATTGCCCGCGTTCTGGCGATCACTGTTAGCCGTTCCCTGCGCCCTCCAATGCGCGAACGAAGGCCACTCACCTCCGCCAGCCGAATTCGAGTGGATGTCACTGACATGAGCATCAGGAGGGAGTGCCTTGTTGCAGGCACAAATTTGTCATTCATCTTATCACTACATTACCAGTCGTCCCCATGCGG